AACCCCATGGCACTGCCACGGGTTCCTGACTCGGGAAAGGCTGACAATGCGAGAAACCCATTGCCCTGCCACGCGCTCGTGACTTAGGAAAGCTGAAAAAGGTGAGAAACCTATCGCGCTGCCACACGTTCGTGACTTGCGAAAGTTGAAACGGTGAGAACCCCATTGCCATGCCACACGTCCTTGATGATGTTGCTGCTGAACATAAGCAGATCGCAAACTCGATTCGCAATTTCACCGGGGGAATGCACGCGGCCCTGCCCCCCCCCCCCCCGAACCAACTCTGTCTTAACCAGATATATTAAACTCGCATTTGTGAGGGGGTATGATGTATTATCCAGGGCGCGCGGTTAATTACATATATATATATATATATATATATATATATATATATATGCATGTAGAAACATATTCGGGCCATCTGAATGCCCGCCGGGGCCGAGGCTGGATCTGCCGGGCGGTCTCTGGAGCCCGGGGTGCATTCGAGGCCAAGCTGAAGACCCGCAGAAAGCCCCTTGAAACTGCCGCCGCCCGCTCGCAATCAGCGAGGACAAATCTTCGGCCGACGCATCGCGAATCCCAGAGATGCAACCAAGAAGCCCGCAGGTGCACATTCGTCAGCTGGGGGTCCAATTGGCGCTCCTTTGCGGACAGGCCCCTGCGGACGCAGCGCCCCAGACGCCCCCCCTCGACTGCGTCCCGCGGCCGCGGGGGCGCCCGCGACGCTGCGACTTCAACCTTCAGCGCCCGTCGGGGCCCTCCACTCGACCGCGTCGCAAGGCCGCAGGGGCGCCTCAAACCGCCGCGGGTGGAACCTCGAGCGCTTCCCCGGCCCCCCCTTTGACCGCATCTGGACACCGCGGCGTCAACCTCGGACGCCCCCCAGGCACCCCCCTTGACCGCATCTCGCAGCGGGCGCCTCGGGGCACCGCGGCTTGGAGCTCGGGCGCTTCCCGGGCAACCCCCTGCGACCGCGTCTCGCGCCTCTGGTCATCGCGGCTTCAACCTCGGACGCGGCCTGAGCGCCTCCATGTGGCCGCGCCTCGCGGCCCGCGGCCTCAACTTCGGACCCCCGCCAGGCGCCCCCCCTCGACCGCGCCTCGCGGACAGGGGGGCGCCTCGGGGCGCCGCGTTTTAGCCTCGGACGCCGGCGGCTTTTTTTTGAAGACGCAACCCCACTCAGAAAGGTCTCGCGAGCTCCCGCATTGCCAGCCACAGGACCGACTAGCGCGCATGCGCATCCGCAGACGTCACATACGAGGGTACCAACCACTGGTGGAAGGCCCGCGCGACAGAACACGGCCCTCTGGCCGAGCGCTGGCGGCGCACCGTGGATTCAAACGGTGCAACGCGCAGCGTGCAGGGTAAGCATAATGCAATGCCACGAGAGCCGCCCTCACCAGCAGGTGCAAAGTCGGCAACGCTCGGCGTGGGACGCGGAGAGGCAGCAGGCAGCCAGGTCGACCATCTGTCTGCGGCTGCAGGCCGGGCCGAACTCCAAGTCACCAAGCAGCGGGCCTAGGAGTTGAGACAGAGAAGACAAGCACAGGCGTTGGGGAAAAAAACTGAACAACATGATGGTCGGTGCATCACGTGGCGCGGCTGGAGCGTGGGACGTTGCGGGTCGCCGTGGCCCGCGGAGTCAACTGTCCGTTCGTGCGCGCCCCGAGATCAATGAACTGTGAGCCGTAGTCCGCGTCGAAACAGCGCAGGTTGACCGAATTGAAGCCGCGCAATCTAGACGAATAAGTGTCTACCACCTTGTGAACGCGATGCGCGCCTTCCGATACAGTGTCGACTTCGCTCGTGAAATGGCCTCGAGACCCACGTCGTCGAGGAAGCACTTAGCACGCGCCAACAGGCGCCGCTTAGCAGGTACAATCACAGCGGGAACAATAGCAGAAACAATCTGCAAAAGGACTCGAGCCAATCGTCCGTACTGGGGCACCACCGTGGTGAGTACATTGTCCCACGTGGCGAAGAACATTAGACACCGACCCGACCCGTGCGCCAGAGCCCATCCGTTCGTTTGCGTCGCACCGTAAAATGGATCCACCAAGCTTAGGTTTACCACAAGGTCCTGGTCTTCCGTAAGGAGGGCCCTGACCCATGGCCACCTCAGGGCCCCGTAGACCGGGACACGCTAGACCCGGACACCCAACATCCCTCGAAACCAAATTTTTCAAACGGCGGCACGAACAAAATACTGCAATGCAGCATCTGCAGAATAAACCCGGACACAGGCCTCACAAGCCTGCAAGACCCCCCTAAACCCGGACACAAACCCGAATCCTGAAGTGCAGCAAACAAAACATGCACGGGTGCTGTAAAACGTGACCTTGCAAGAAAGGATGTCGTTTCCTTGGGTTTCCGTGTCCTGGTTTATCTGTGTCCTGGTCTCCGGGGGCCTGACCACCCCCTGGCGGCCAGGGGCCGGCTGGCGCGGTGACAGCTCCTCATGCTGTGCACTGGCTCGCCCCTGTCATGAGTGACATCCGACGAAACGGAGCTCCACGGTGGTCGTGCCGCCACCGAACTGTCGGCCCTCCAGCGTAATGAATATCGGCTAGCGATGGCGCGCAGGAGAGAAACGAAACATGACAAATCCCGCCATCGACTGATGATCATGCTGTGCGGGGGCTTGCGACCCCGTAGACACGAGAAACGACGCCAGAATCGCTCGAGCCAGGGCCTTTCAGAGGCGTTTCCCTTCATCGGCCACCGTGCCTCTGGCGCGACATGGACTGCCCCAAGGCTCACGCACCCCTGGAAGGTAAATGGTTTGCCAGGTTCTTGATGGCCCAGACCCCCCGTTTCCTGGGCGTTATTGGGCGCTACTGGGCTCTTCTGGAGTGTTTCGCCTGGGCCACTGGGACGGTCCCCAAACGGGCTAAGAAAGCCCCGGGAGGCCGCCAAGACTGTTCAGGAGGGCACAGAATCGCCGAAAGATCACTCCAAGACGCCCACGATGGCCTCCAGACGACCCCAACAGCCTCGAAGACGCCCTAAGAGGCCTCCAAGAGCACCCCCAAGAGAGCCCCTAAGAGGCGAAACGAATGGTTCTCGCCTTTTTACGGACGGACAAAAAGGAAAGGCCCCAAATATCGCCCCAAGACAGCCGACAAGGCCTCCAAGAGGGCCCCAAAACAAACCAAGAAGTCCCCCAAACGGTCCAAGCGGCCTCTAAGGCGGCACTAGAAGCCCTCGAGACGGCTCCAAGAGGGGGCCCAGACGGGAGACCCGAACGGACATTTCGAGCCTTCGGCCATGAGAGGCCCCCAGCAGGCCCCATCCGAACAGGCCCATGAGGAACCCCCAAGCGGCCCCAAGAGGCCCCCAAGAGGCCCCGAGGAAACCCCGCCCCCAAAAGGCTCCCAAGAGGCCATCCAGAGGCTCCCAAGAGGCCCCAAACTGCCACCCAGGGGCCATCGAGAAGGGCTCCGAATAGAGACCCCAAGAAGCATCCTTGAGTTCTCTGACCCACAACCCATGCAGGGTGGCGGGATGGACCGAAGGCAATTCGATAACACAATGGATTCCCAACCTGACAACATGAAACCTCCCAAACACAATTGAACCCACTGATGTTACAAACACTTGATGGAAAACCGCGGGTCCCTCAATTGCCCAGGATGGTCCTTCAGCATTGTGCCCGCCACCGTGCCTTCAGGTTGAAGTGGGGTGCCCCGAGGCGCACAAGCTGTCATCAATGTTCTAAGACTGCACTTCACGGTGCTCAAGGGCCCCGGCCCCCTCCTTGGAATTCCGTGGAATTCCTGCGAACATTGAAAACTCTTGGGAAGTGTCATGTGAGCTCTTGACGCCAACCAGCCCCAATCTACCCCAGCACTCCTGGACCGTCTTTGGGACCTCCTGAAGGAGGGCTTTCGATAAACAGTACATTCGAAACCACTACGGGATCCAGCGATGGTGCACACAGCTTCGAGGAAATAATAAGTTGTGCCTCGTGCCAAGTGAAGTTTTCCACCGTTGCTCTAACTTTTTCATGCCCACATTGGGTACATCTCATCGTTTCGCCTGCTAGCCTGTCGTGGCAAACCCATCGGTGACCCCCCGTTGCTTTCTGCATGAGCCTGGGCATGTAATTTACCTCTTGCACTGTCGGGAAGTTTCGCTTAGCGTGTCGCGGCGGCGGCCCCAGCGACACTCAATGCCCTGCAAGCGGATAGCGCATCGCTCTGCCTCGCGGGGCGGGAGGCTGGGAAAAACTCGGGACGTTCACGACTGGGAATTGGCAAATTAAATGGCCAGCGTGTCGCGCCGAAGCGCGGTGGCCCAGAAAGGGTGGCGCGACACGCTAAGCCAGAGCTCCTGGCCATCATTCCTGAGGCCCCCGCGAAGATCGACCGCACCCTTAGGAAACCGCATACACATAATTTCTCGGAGGTCCGCGCGGATGTCTTGGATTGGCACTGAATCCCCCCCAGGGCGCGCGGAACGCGCCAGAGGCGGCGCCTGAAGCGGCGCCGGGTGGCCCCAGCACTGATGCAAGATATCCGCGGGGACCTCTGAGAACTTGTGACTTGTGTTTGTGCTGTTTTCTCTTCGTCGAAATCCCTGAAACTCAGCGAGAATCGACCGCCTCCTGCCTCCCAGGCTCGCCCACCGTGCCCACCCTCGCCCCCAAAGATGAATGAGCATCGCATCGGGGCTCGGCTCGGAAAGAGCCTCGGATCGGCCTGCATCGGCCCGGCGTCGGAGTCGAGTCGGGTCGGTTGCGCCACTATGCACAATAACGGCATGCGAACATCGGGCCACGACGGCTCGCACGAATCTCGGAATCGAATCGGATCGGGCCGGCCGGAGTCGACATCGAACCGGATCGGTCGGATCGACGTGAACCCTGACCCCCATGTGAGGTCCTCCTCCTCCTCCTCCTCCTCCTCCTCCTCCTCCTCCTCCTCCTCCTCCTCCTCCTCCTCCTCCTCCTCCTCCTCCCCCCCTCTCCTCCATCATCCTCCCCCCGCCCCCCGGCAGGCCCCCATGCCGTCCACCGTCGTGCACCGCGCTGCGTCGAAGGCGAGGAATGGCCTCGGCGGGCCAGCTCTGCCACGACGGCTCGAGGGAGGACCGAGGGAGGGGAGGGGCCCATGAACGTCTCCAGCGCGCGGCGCGGAGGGGGGGGGGCGGCGCTGGTTTGGCCCGGGCGCGCGCGGTCGTCGTCGTCGTCGTCGTCGTCGTCGTCGTCGTCGTCGTCGTCGTCGTCGTCGTCGTCGTCGTCGCCGTCGTCGTTAATTCGTCGTCGTCGCGCGCGGCTTTCTCTGTCTCTCAGGACCTTCCATGGAAGCGGGGGGGGGGGGGCCCCAGCGGGGGGTTCGCAGATCCACGGCTGGAGGCGCGCGCGCGCGGCCGAGGGGGGGGATCAGGGAGCGTCTTGGAATCAGGAAAGGGGGCCGTGCAGTCGCCCCCGACCTTCGCGCCGCGAGCAGTATCGCGACGCGAGTGTTCGTGCAAAGTTAAACCTCTCGGGGCCCTCGCCGGGCCCCAGGGCCGCCAACAGCAACGACTCAGGGTGAAAAGCCGCTCCAGGGAGATAGGTCTGAACCCCATGGGCCCACGCGCTGCGAATAAGTCACGAGGGTTTTGGGGGGGGGCTGTCAGGAATGCGCGCTAGCGCTTCTCCTTCTCCTCGTCACCCCCTCCCTTCCTGCTCCTTGGCCATTGCTTGAGCGTTCCAATCCACGCGGCGAGCAAGGCTGTTTACCAGGGGTGGCGGGCCCGCTCGCGAACGCACATTTCCAGGAACAAGACGAAGCAGAAAGATAACATTCGGAGGTCTGCGCGCGCTGACAAGGGAGAGACATAACAAGTATTGGCGAGTGGCTGCGTTCGCATCAAGGCGCGCCAAGTTTGGCCCCCCTGGCGCACCCTGAAGTGCGCATTCGTTTCCCGAAAGGGGGTTGGTCGACCGGGCGGCGTCGTTTCCCGAAAGGGGGTTGGTCGACCAGGCGGCGCGCTTCCTCCCCAAAATCTGTCCCGAATCCCAGCCCAAATCGCACATCGTCTGGTTTGCATGTATGCGATATCTTTGAATTGTTGCGAATGTGCTTGAATGCGTTCCCGCAGCAGCGGGGACCTTTACTTTGCAAGCTATTCAAAGAACTCCACCATATTCCGGGCCCGCGGGCGGGGCTGGCTTTGGCCACGACGCAGAATCTGGTTACAAATCATGGCGACGCGGCCCAGCAGTGCCAGACATCATCGTGGTGGCCCCAAGCAGCGTCTGCTTTCGCGGCGCTGCCTTCGAATCCAATGTTGAAGAGTTCCAAGTCTGTCAACTGGCGCGCCAGCGCTGGCTTGCGGCTCTGCGTTGGGCCTCCACGGGCGCCCCTGAAGCCGCGCACCAAAGGTCGCTCTAACCTAGGCGCCGATCCAACAAATCCGCTCAGAACTTGGAATATTCATGGTCATGCCATGCTTTATTCCTCGAACCTTCCGGCCTCCCCGGAGGTCCCCTCCGGAGTGCAGACCCCGCCCTGGGATCTGGAAGCCCCCAAAAACCATGGTGGAGGGGAGGGAAAGAGGGAGGGGGGGAACATGGAGCATGGATTGGCCTGCCTCTACAGAGGCAGGTGCCAGAAGACAGGGAGGACAGGGATTTTACTAAATCTACCCCATTGCGTCCCCTGCGTGCCGATTTGCAACGGGACTCTGAGTGGCGCGCTGGGCCCTATGGTCACGGGTTGCTGTTCGGTTTCAGACATGTTTGCCCTCAAAGACCGCTGGCTCCCAGCGTGTTGAAGCTTGCAAAGAAAACTTCCCCAAGAGAGCGCGGCGAAGCGTTGGCACCCTGAGCTGTCGCTGGGTGGCCAGTAGGCGAGCAAACTCACCACTTCTAGACAGCGGGGCACTCTGGTCATAATCGGAGCGACCCTCGACCGCTGAAGCGAAAACAAAAACCAGAGTCATGAGGAGAAAGACACGTCAGGTTATGACTGACTGCTCTCACTGTAGGAGGACGGAGGACGGAAGAAAAGCATGATGCCAACCAAGGCCTCGAAGGAAGGGCAGCATGAGGGGAGACGTAACAACAGGCAGCAGCGGCAAGCGGCGTCAGCGGTTGCCACACGCATCCTCGGGCGGTGCTGCAGACTCCCCATCTCCACCAGCGTGCTCACCACGGAGCCCACGTTCGGGTTCCTGGTTGGCGGCCCGCGCTTCACCTCCACATGTGGTTTGGCGGCGATGGGCGATGGCACTTCTTCTGCAGGCATTTGAAAACTGTGCCTGTCACCGATGAGTATTGAGCGCTGTACGCCTAGAGGTTATTCTTCTTCTCCGCGGGAGCGCCATCGTCCTTCGTGATCTTGGAAATCCAAAATATCTAACATTGTTCTTGTGCTGGCATAATCTTGCTCATCGCTTCGTGGTTGTTCGGTTCTTTGTGCTGCTTGCGTTCCATGTCGGACTGCCTTCCCGTCGCCTGCGCCCCTGCCAAGCAGGGGCGCTCTGCTTTCACTGGCGCCGTTGTCTCGAAGCACCCTGAGACCCTGCGCTGGTTTACATAACGCTCTGATCGTGTCGTCCTGCGGTTCCCCCACCGCGCGGCGCCCGTGCACCTGGCTGCCCTCAATCTAGACGTGAGCTGCCAAAGCCTCTGGATTCCTGCCCGGGACAGTGAGCGCGTACATGTGCACGAGCGGCTTCCAGGTGCATAACAGGTCGGGTCACAAGGAAAACACGCCAGCTCCCGAAGAAGCTGCAAGGCCGAAACAAGTCCCGACGCACGTCCAGGTCGTTAGACGCATGCTGGTGGTTTCTTATTACCCCTGACCTAGCAATGTAATCAGGCGCTGGTCACCTCCGCTAAGGACCCCTGGCGCCAAGGGCACGGGTTGGCAACGGGGGCGCGTCGGTAGTCTTGGCATATCCCATGGGCCCGAAATTCATGGGCAACATAATGATTTCCTAGTAGGGCATGAGCGGGCACACCTGCAATCGTCGGAAACAAGCTCGCACTTGAACAAGTCGGAGGAGAGGGCAGGGAGGAGGAGTCGGGAGTCAGGAGCATCGAGGACCCGCCCGACGGGCGAAGAGACCACGGCGACAGGACGACCTCGTCACCAGGTCAACATGGACGCCCTCCGCGACGAGGCCGCCGCCGAGGACGTAGTGGGGCGCGCCGAAGCCGAACCCCACGACGCACGAGGGGGTGGGGAGACGGCTCCCGACCGCGAGCGGTCAAGGGCCCATCCGCCTCCCCGGGCCCCCCCCCCCGTGCAGCCCTGGAACGCTGGCTGGCGGCGCGCGACAGCGCGCCGCGCTCCCGCGCTATGCGGGTGAGGTCCGCCACGGCCTTCATCAGGTTCACGAGGTCGCGCGGCGGCTCGATCGCCGCCGCGCGCACGAAGCCGCAGGCGCGCGAGAGCTCGCCGAAGCACTCGCGGAGCTCCGCGAGCTGCGCCTCCGACCAGGCCGAGGGCGCACGCACCGCCACGCCAGGAGCCGCCTCCGCCACGGGCGCCACAGGCTCCAGCGGGGCAGCCGCCGTCGCGACAGCGTCCCGAGGGGCCACCCGCCGCACGGCGTCGGCCCTCTCGCCATCCAGGTCATCAGCACCGTCGGCACCAGCAGCAGCATCCGCGCCTCCCACCGCCTCCGCGGCAGCAGGCCCCGCGGGGGCCGCATCGGCCATGGCTACGACCTCCACCTCCATGCCGTCGAGGGCGTCAGGCGCGCCAGCGCCTGCCGCCATGCGCGCCGCCCTCCGCTGGCGCCGCCGCCGCCGCCGCCGCCGCCTCGCGGAGCGCGCCGCGGGGTCGGCGGCCGCAGCAGCAGGGCGGCCAGGAAGCACCTCATCGCCTCCAGCAACAGGCGCCGCCGCGGTTTGCTCCACGCGGACCCGCAGCGCGAAGAGCGCAGCGGGCACCGCGGAGCGCGCCACAGCCGCAGCCGTACGCCTCGGCATGCTAGCAGCACCGCGCACCGCCGCCTCGACCAGGGCATCAGCGGCGGCGTCCATAGCCCGAGCTCCTCTAACACCTCGCGCGGCGGCCATCGCAGGGACGACCGAGGCAAGGATTGAGCCAAATGGCTTGAGCCAAACTGGCTACGGACACAGGGAGGAGGAGGAGGAGGAGGAGGAGGAGGAGGAGGAGGAGGAGGAGGAGAAGGAGGAGGAGGAGGAGGAGGAGGAGAGGAGGAGAGGAGGAGGAGGACTAGGGTAAACCCATAACACGTCAACAATGCTGCAACAAACCTTCCCTCCAAGCTCCCGATTCCTCTTCACAAGTCCCTACCAATGTGTGTGTTCAGTACGGGCAGTCCCCCATTGGGAGACAAACGTCTGAGCATCCTCAGCCGTACCAAAACACCATTCCCCGGACTTCAGCGCCGCGAGTCAAAACGACGATTACGCCAGACCGATCCTAAACCTCGCCAAAACTCCAATGCTGGGACTTCAACGCCAGGAGTCAGCGGGACTGCTGCGCCTTGCCAGTCCTACACCGTGCCATCGCACTCTTCCTGGGACCTCAGCCATACGAATACTTGAAAACTGCTGCAACATATCACAGCGAATGTGAACGACGCTAAGACGAGGGCCACGGCTTGAAAAGGAACCACCCTCCATCCTTGAATCCAATGCAAGCGTGTGAATCGAATGTGCGCGGTGCTAAGGCGAGAGCAAAATTTTGAAGGGGCCCGCCGGCCATCCTCAAAACTGCTGCAAACAAAAAGGCGAATGCTCGCGGAGCTACCGCTAGAACCTCATGCTGAAAAGGACCCGCACCATACGCTTGAAACCACTGCAAACATGTCTGAAGAATGCGCGCGGGCTAGAAAACGAGAACCACAATTTGAAAACCACCCGCCCTCCATCTGTGCGGCGCTAAAACGAGAACCACAATTTGAAGACCACCCGTACTCCACCCGTGAACCAGTTGCAAGCGTTTGAAGCGAATGTGCGCGGCACTACAGCGAGAACCACAATTTGAAAACCACCCCATCCGTGCAATTGTTGCCGATATCAAGCGAAACGACGGGCCCAGCCAACCGACATGTGTAGGGGGGGCCCAGGGAGACCATCGATAAGGAAAAGGGATCGAGGAGGAGGAAGCAGTGTCGAGGATCAAATATTGAGGCGAGCATACCCCAGATGCAGGCTACGAATTCGGTGTTCCCGTAGCGATGCAAGTTTCCCTTCAGCCAGATCAACCCGAAAGGACACGTCGAATTGCGGCCAGCCAGCTCGTTGCTCTGGCAGTTTAGTCCGTAATCCTACCTCTTCCTCCCACAACTCCGCCCCCCGCGTCAGGCGGGCCGCGCGGCGATGCCAGTTGCAGCAGACCCCAGTACAAAGAACTCCTCCTCTCCTCTCACCCCTCCCTTCTTCGCCCCCCCCAGAGTTCGTTGCATCATTATGACCGCGCCGAATGGGCGGCAGGATTAAACAACGAGCCCTTCCCTGCGCGCGGGGGCCTGGGCTGCTCGAGCCTGAGTGAAGGCGCGGTGCTTCCTTAGAGTCCGCCACCATGCCGCGAGGCTCGAGTTGGAGTGCCTTCAGGCTCCTTGTAGTTCTCAGTCCTCAACCCTCTGGATTGACTGTTGAAAGGCCCGGACCCCACATGCTCGAATCCTCCGGGGTACCCAGCGTGCCTCGCGCAGTTCTCTCGCGCTTCCCGCATGACTTGTTTGAAGCCACGAGCGCCCCAAAACGGATGAGGACCCCGAGAGGCCTCCGACCTACAATCCAAGCACGGCGGCGGGACGGGCCGAAGGCCAATAAATCCGCCGCCCCCTGTCGATTCATCGCAGGGGTGCCTGGCGTGCTAGAACTCTCGGTTTTGGTTTTGGTTCTTTTTCCAAAAGAACTCCCCCAATGGGTTTCGGCCCGTCCCGCCGGGGTCCCGGGAGGCCCTTCAAGGAGCGCAAAGTCCCGAACAAAACCCTCCAAGACGGCTCCAGATGGCGTCCAAGATGGCCAAGATGGCCCAAGATGGCCTCCAAGATGGTCCAAGATGGCCTCCAAGTCCGCCCAAGATGGTCCAAGACGGCCTCCAAGACGGCCCAAGAGAGTCCAAGACGGCCCAAGACGGCCCCACAGAGGCCTCCAAGACGGCCCAAGAGGCATCCAAGAGGTCCTCCAGGAGAGCCCGAAGAGGCCAAAATCATTGATTTTCCTTAGGTGTTTGAAGGATTGTGGGATTTGCTTCTTCTCGGCATTCCGACGGCTCAAGACGGTCCAAGAGGCCCCCAAGATCTCCCCAAGATCGCCCAAGAGCCCTCCAAGATGGCCCCATGACGGCCCCAGACGCCCCCAAGACGGCCCCAAGAGGGCCCGAAGACGGCCCAAGAGGCCTCCAAGACGCCCAAGATGGCCTCCAAGACGGCCCCGAAGCGCCCCAAGAGGGCCCCAAGTCGGCCCAGACAGGTCCCCAAGACGGCTCCCGAGGGCGTCAGACGTGCCAGGAACCCACGTAAGATGGCCGAAGTTGGCTCGAAGCTGGCCCAGACGGCCCAAGAGGCCCCCAAGAGGGCCTCCAGGAAGGCCAGAACAGGCCAAAAGCATTGATTTTCCTAAGGTTTTTGACGGAGGTTGACATTTGCTTCTTTTCGGCCTTCCGACGGCCCGAGACGGCCCAGGAGTCCCCAAAGATCGCCGAAAGGTCGCCCAAGAGGCCTCCAAGATGACCCCAGAACGGCCCAAGGGCCCCAAGACGGCCCCAAGGGGCCCCCAAGACGGTACAGGAGGCCCTGAAGACGCCCAAGATGGCCTCCAAGACGGCCCTGGAGCATTCCAAGAGGGCCCCAAACCGGCCCTTAGAGGCCCCCCAAACGGCTTCCGACGGCGTCAGACGGACCAGGAGCCCACCAAGACGGCCGAACATGGCCCTAATACGGCCCAAGACGGCCCAAGAGGCCTCCAAGAGGGCCTCCAGGATGGCCCGAAAAGGCCACAATTATTGATGTCCCATGGGTTGTTGAAGGATTGTGGAAGTTGCTTCTTTTCGGCCTTCCGACGGCCCGAGACGGCCCAAGTGCCCCCAAAGATCGCCCAAGAGGCCCAAGACACGGCCCCAAGAGGCCCCCAAGACGGCCCAAGAGGTCTCCAAGACGCTCGAGATGGCCTCCAAGACGACCCAAGAGCCCTCCGGGACGTCCTCCAAGAAGGCCCGAAAGGGTCAAAATGGTCCCCAGACGGCCAAGGTGACCTTCAAGATGCCCACGTGTTCCCCGAAGGCTTTCCAAACCGATTCGGGGAACACATGGTCCGATAGCTTGGCAGGTCTGGCCTCAAGGTTCGGCCACATAGGCGCTTCCGAAAGGGCAGGGGGCGGCGGTGATTCGCCGTAGGCGTCTTCGATCCGCCGCCCCCTGTTGATTTATCACAGGGGTGCCTGGCGTGTTAGAACCTAGACGGTGTTGGTTCTTTTGGAAAACTCACTGGGGCTTCGGCCCGTCCCGCCGGCCACCTGAAGAGACCCCAAACTGCACATGTCAATGCCTTTCATGCCCAAGATGGTCCCAACTGGACTCCAAGCTGTCTCCAAGACGGGCAAGATGGCCCAAGATGGCTTCCAAGTCCGCCTAAGTTGGTCCAAGATGGCTTCCAAGACGGCCCGAGCGAGTCCAAGATGCTTTCAAGTTCGTCCAAGAAGCCTCCACAACGGCCCAAGATGGGTCCAAGACGGCCTGAGACTGGCCAAGAGGCTTCCAAGAGGCCTCTAAGATGTCCTCCAGGAAGGCCCGAAAGGGAAAATCCATTGATTTGCCTCAGGTGGTTGAAGGATTTTGGTATTCTCTTCTTATCAGCTCTCCGGCGGCCCAAGACGGCCCAAGAGGCCCCCAACATCGTCCCAAGAACGCCCAAGGGGCCTCCAAGATGGCCCCATGACTCCCCAAGAGGCCCCCAAGAGGGCCCCAAGAAGAGCCCAAGACGGCCAAAGATGGCCCCGAAGACGCCGAAGATGGCCTCCAGGACGGCCAAGGTGGCCTCCAAGATGCCTCCAAGACGGCCAAGAAGGCCTCCAAGACATCGAAGATGTCCCCAAGATGCACCCAAGACGGCCCCAGATGGCCTCAAGATGGCCTTAGACTGCCCAAAAGGACCGCAAGGGGCCTCCAAGACGGCCCAAGAGCCCCCCACGTGGTCTCCGAAGGTTTTCCAAACCGATTCGGGGAACACATGGTCCGATAGCTTGGCAGGGATCTGGCCTCAAGGTTCGGCCACATAGGCGCTTCCGAAAGGGCAGGGGGCGGCGGTGACTCGCCGCAGGCGTCTTCGATACAGCGTGTTGCATCTGAGACCCCAGGTGCGCTGGCCGTCCTTTGAGCCCGTAGGCACACACGGGCTGTCATCGGAGCCCGTGTGCACAAACGTGGCGTTCCCTGCGTCATGATGTCCACCGCGGCGGGGCGGCAGGCGACCGAGCGAGGTCTCGTCCATAATGCAGCGCTCGGCTTGAGCGCCCAGGTACGCCGCCGAACGCCCAGAGGGCCCACAGAGGGCTGGTTGAGCCAGGCCCAGACGAGACCCACGGGTGCTGAGGAGGTCAGGGGGTGATGCAAATAGTCCCTGGCCAACCCCATTACTGTGCCATCTCCCTATGCGTAGGTGGGTTGTGTAGGGACAGGGCAGCGACCGTCGCGCCTGTTGCCTCAGCGTCACATTACCCAGAGCGACCCCCCTCGGATGGAGGTGCGGTCTGCTGGGGTCTACGTGGTAGCTCGCAGGGTCGGTTTGAGATCGACGCGAGCGGTGCAGCGTATGATCAAATATGCCCTCACGCGTCCCACAAGGCAACGCGGGCGTGATTGCACGCTTTCTTCATTGGGGCTTCTTGGCGGCGATGGCCCCAAGTGATTCGCCTCATAGGATCATCTTGGGACCCGCCAGCGGGTCATTCCAAAGCGCCCCTGGGGGCATAGCTGACAGAAAGCTAACGGAAAAACGAAAGGCAACGCGAATTCTGTCTGTCAGCTCCAGGGGGCATTCAAGAACCGTCCTGGGATCCGCTCGAGGCCACTGCAGGGCCTTCCTGGGGGGGCACCAGGGGCCCGCATAGGGCAGAAACTACAGAGAGAGCTGACAGAAGCAGCGCTTTTTTGGCAGCGCGATTTCTGTGCAAACAGCTTGGGAGCTGCGGCGTTGTGCCAGAGGGTGGGAGCACTCCACCCCAATGAAAGCACACTTGTGGGATACTATCGTAGTGTTTCTTCGAGGTACGGCCAAAACCAAGTATGGGGACAAGTTGCATCACTACCAGTGCCCGATGTGTGACTGTGCCACAGCATCGGTACCATGATTGCCGTCTCCCCCAAAACGAAAGACTCAAATCAAGAGAGAAGGCGTTGGTCTTACCCATAGCTGCAGGGCAGGGATGTGGCCTGTTGACCGAAAGACTTGGCCTGCTGCCCGGGAAAACTACTGGGAAGCATGAATTGCGCCTCGCGATACGGCGACGAAGGACCTGCGGCATGCTTCAAAATTCTCTGATGGCCGCCGAATCGTTCTACATGGCTTAGGTAGCCTTTAGCCTACGGTGAGCTGGGTAATCCTGGTCCTCCTTCTCATCATCGGCGGCCTCATTTTCCCTCTCCTCCACCTCCCTCATCACTCCTCCCTCCTCCCTCTCCTCCCTCTCCTCGCTCTTCCCTCCTCCCTCTTCCCTCCTCGTCCGCCTCCACCTCCTCCTCCTCCTCCTCCTCCTCCT